TCTCCCACAATCAACCAATTTACAACTATTAAAAAGCAATGACAGCCAAGCTGGGGCCACTAGAGCTCAGGGGAAGAGGAGGAGAAATTCATGAAGGCAAGAGAAGCTACAATGAGAGAAAGGATTGCGCTCACCATTTTGAGCCCCGACCATTTCAAGGCTGGCCCTGGTGAGCACATGGAGCAAGGGCTGGCAAAAGCCGCAGCTGTGCCCTTCATGTGAAGTTGCTTGGAGGCTGCAGGGGAGAAGAGGGCCTTGGTGGCCCTCACGGCAGCAAAACCACTAACAGGGTTCCTATGGACCCAGACAGGAGTGAGGGGCCCCAGACAACTGAAAAAAGGAGCCATGCAGAGGCCATTGAGTCATCACTAGGGACTGGCACACAGCCCATCCCATAGGAAGTGTTTGGAGTGCGGGCTGTGGGGGAGATGGGCCCACTGGGGGAACACTGGGTCATAGCATGGACAGCTGATCCGCCCCCCAATCAGCATAGGACCAGTCAGTCAGTGGAGGTCTGCAGGGGATGAAGTTTGCTGAAAAGACTCGGACCAGAGCTTCCATGCAAGCCAGGTATATCAGAACTCACAAGACCTGGAAGTACATACAAGTTCAACAATTAAAATCTGAGCTGCACAAAAAGCCTTCCCCAGGGAATCAGCAGCAATGAAGTAATTTAGCTCAACCACAGGGCTCAAGTGCTGGTCCCCACAGGAAGTTCCCCCATTTTAGAAGTAAGCAAAGGACAACAAAGTAGCTCCAGTGCAGAGTTTAAGTGGTGGGAACAGCAAATAATCCAACACAGAACTGAAAGAAAAAACAAAATACCCACAGACCAAAGTTTGATATTAACTAGTAGAGGTCTAACACCACCAAAGAACACCTATAAAACCTAGAAGGACTAGAAGCCCCTGGGCTCCCAAGCCAGGGAGGGGAGAGGGCTGTGGGCCTCAGCCATGACCCCCTGATGACCATACCCAGCCCACCAGGCTGCCACTAGAAGCTTCCCGGGCTCCTGAGCCAGGGAAGTTGGGGGCTGAGGGCCTCAGCCATGCTCCCACCCCCTGATATCTGCAACCAGCCCAGCTACAACCACTGATCTGCCAGTGGAAACTTCCTGGGCTCCTGAACTGGGGCAGTGGATGGCTGAAGGCTTCCGCCACACCTCCTGACATCTGCATCCAGCCCAGCAACAAATGAGCTGCTGCTGTAAGCCCCCTGGTCTCCCATGCAGGAATTAGGGGGGTGCCATGGGCCTCAACCACACACCCCCTCCTTCCTCCTTCTCCCACTCTATTTCCTTCTCCCTTCCCCTCCCCCCTTCTCCCCCAACTGCTCCGCAACATCTTAGAATGTAAAAAAATAATATTAATAAATAAATTTAAATAAACAAATAAAAGTTCTTTAAAATATTTCACTATAAGTTTCACTTGATGAACCAGGAAATAAAGACATTTAAAATAGCAATAGAGCTGTGGGCAAGAGGATGGTTCCTTTTCCCAGACACAAGTACAAATGAAACTTTTAATCCCGATATTTCTTAATACTAAAATATTTACCACTCTCCAGAGAACAGTATAGCCACCTAGAAGAAAAGGCCCTCCTATCCCCTTCTGCAGAGAGAATCAGGTTCAGAACAGCCATACTGGCACACTTCCAAGACTTTGAAAAAGTACATTAAATAGTTCATGCCTCAGCATGTGTGTAGCTATAAAAAGCTATAAGAGGTCCTGGGTGACAGGGAGATGTGAGAAGATAGAAACATGAAGAAGAGAAAATAAAAGAAATAAAGGACAGGAAAGAAAATCTATACCCCTCTGATTCCCATACAGTGGTCAATACAAAAAAATTTATCTTAACACTAGAGGTTTCTGAAGGAATGAAAGGACACATAGCTATGAGTAAGCTTTTAAAAAATTATCTTTGAAGTATTTAAAAGAAAATTCTAACTGGAGTTTCTAGTTATTGTACTTATATCCAGTTCAAGAATTCAAACAACCAAAGAAGGGCCGAGCCCGTGGCGCACTCGGGAGAGTGCGGCGCTGGGAGTGCAGCAGTGCTCCTGCCGCAGGTTCGGATCCTATATAGGGATGACCGGTGCGCTCACAGCGCTCACTGGCTGAGCGCAGTGCGGCCGGTCTCAAAAAAGACAAAACAAACAAACAAAAAAACAAACAACCAAAGAAGAATCACAATTGTGAAACTGATACATAAATAGTGATGTGAATCAAGAGTTTGCTTCAAAATAAAACTTAAGTATGTGTCACTTTGAGTTTTGATCAAAACTCTAAAATAGACAATGAAAACCATAACAAAGCAACCTAAGCACACATGATGGTAAAAGTATAAGCTGGCACATAACTCATCACTGTAAGTGCCAAGCAGGAGAACCTGGTGCCTTAAAGGGGAAGCATGGCAGTGGATGAGTGAATAAATGAAGGAAATAAAGAGCTCCAGTAATTTCTCCAAATGCCAGTATAGGACCTGTCAAGATAAAGCAGGGCTCTATTATCGCCTTTCTTTTTCCTTGCTTCCTCAGCCAGCAATTTGCACCATACTTTAAAAACATATAGCTCAAAATATATTTAAAAATTAATGAGTTAAAATGAAGTAAGAAAAATGTAATGCATAAAATATGGTGTGAAGAGTTAAAAAATAAACTTGAGGAAAGCAATTTGAATTTTTTATTTAAGAGCTGATGGAATATTAGGATTTTCCTAAGGGTGATAAAGGGGAACAAAGTTTTTTTTTTTTAAAAGTTCTTTAAAAACTAAAGATTAAGAAGGAGTTCATTTATTCAAGACTTTTAAGCATCTGTTAGGTACCAAGTACTATACTTATTCTTGACTTAGATGGTTTTGGAAGCACATATTTCCCCAAATCAAAAACTTTTATGGTTATGAGCTCATCTTGAGAAATGCTTCTGAGATTGTATAGAAAAGGGGTAGAGCTGAGGATTAAACCAGCTTTGGGGAATGAGTCTTATTAATAGAGAGTTATTAATTATGATACACTGCTTTTAACCTTTTCAACGTTATAAAGCCAACACTACAGAATGCCAGCACACTAGTCCACAGCATGGGCAGCAAAGTGACACTCACTTGGCTTCAGATAACATGGGAGGAGTGACCACGGGCTGTTTAACCTAGGTGAACCTCTGTTTTCTCATCAGAAAAGGAGGTGTTTGCAGAGATTAAATGAGAATGAATATCCAGCGGCTGCCACATAGAAAGGTACTCAAGCAAAAGCACAGGTTAGGTCAGAGCACTGATCTCTTCTTCATGTAGCAAACATGAAAGTTTATTCCTTAAGGGTAAAAAGTATCAAAGATATGGCATGTGCAAATTTCACCACATCCTAGGTTACAGAACTACCCCTCGGGTGTCTCCTTAGGTGTGTTCATTTCTGCAGCTGTATCTGTTGTCCAAGAACACACAAAGATAGATAGGAAAAAAGTAATTGATATATTTTCACATACCACTGACGGGAATCCAGATTTTTTAGCTCTCTCAATAATTTTGAATTTTTCTTCAACAGATGAAAATTCTTCCTATAAAGAAAAAAGGATGAAAAAAACCCCCACATGATCACAGGCCAATTTTGCCACTTTCCAGTCAACCACTTTACAAACCCACCTAGCATCCATCTGCCACATGACTCACAATAGATTTGTGATAGAAACCTCCAGAATAAATGCCATTCTCTTTAAGACATGCAAAGGCATAAAAATTCTATTGCATCCCATCCCATTACTATCCAGTGCCACTGGATGGCTCTGTGGCCAATGAGTATAGGACTTGGGTATATGTGTGCCTGTGTCTGTTTTCACTGTCAGCTCTGCCATGAATCTCTCTTCCCCACCTCTTCCCTTAAGAACTTCACTCTGCTATCAGGGTCCAGCTCAAATCCACCCCTTTCCATGAAGTCTTCTTCACTGTCCTACACTTCCCACTGGATTTAATTGTTTCTCCTGAGCTTCTGTGTCCCTCTATCCTTTGTCAGTGTTTTATCAAGTCTAACTCCCTCATTAGACTGTGGCTTCTTCACGTTTGTAGTCCATTCTCATCTTGCATGAAGGTAGAAATAATAATAGACAGAGATTTAAAAAAAAAAAGTAAACACATACACCCATGGAAAATGCTTGCTATTCTTTAAAATATCCAACAAATATTTAAAATTCAATCTGTGCATCAGTACAGCACAATTAGTCTCATTTCTAATTTTCATTTACCAGCAGAAAATAAGCTGTAAATGTTGAAATAGAGAAAAATATCCATTTCTATTCTCTTCCCCCTCCGAACCCCAAATTGATGAAAAGAACAATCACATGAAAATAATGATAAAATAATTGTAGGACCAATGTAGATGGTTACCTTCTATCCCAAGAATTCATTCCCAAGTCATCAAGCAACAATCTGCAGAAATAAAAAGGTCCCCGGGGCTCCACTGGCAAGGGCTGCCCTTGGCTGGTGACTTTCATTACAGAATCAGAGTCACACCTCTGAATATACTCGTCTTCCTGTGCGCTCTGGCGCAAAATGACCTCAACGATTTCCTTCTCTTGGTCACAGTTCATTCCACATGGGGGCGGAGAAGGCTCATTTAGATTTAGCTGTGATGGTAAAAGACATTCAGGACTTGTGTGGCCAATGTTTTCAAGTAATTTGTCGAGCACATCATCTCCTTCTTCAGTTTGAGAAAAAGCTTTCTGAGATCCACTTGTGTGATGATGCCAGCCCGAAATCAGAAATAAAGGATTTTTTCCACTGGGAGCTAAGAAGCCTTCCAATGGTCCATATAAAACCTTACCGTCCCAAGAGTACTTCCCTGAGATATCCCTCACGATTACTCTCACATCGGAGAGGGTGGCCACCGGGGATCCATCTGCCGGTCCTTCTGTGGGCGTCTGAAGGTAGGAAATGAGGGTGCTATCATTAAATACAAACAGCTGCAGGTTTGGGCTCCTGAACACCTCAGAGGACAGCTCAGAGCCATCCACATGGGCATTGTCATGGTTCTCACTGACCAGGCTGTGCAGTATGGCAGGGCCCCCGTGGAGGGGGTAGTGGCCCAGGTGGTTTACCAGGTGGGCCATCACCATGCGAGCAGTCAGAGGGATCAGCTCCAAACTTCTTCTTTTCTTCTCTGTGAAGAACAATAAAGAAACATAAAGAGACAGTGGTGAATGAAGACTGAAACTGAACACCACGAGATTTCGGTCTATACTTAGACTGCTTGATTTTTTAGTCTGGGAATTTTTCTTTTTCTCTATTTTTTGGGACAGTAATTCTATTTTAATTTAAAAACACAATTTAAATAGATTGCTAAAAGAATCAACTTCCATGAAGATTTCATTCTGAAAGGGACCTTTAAAAATCCATAAATATAGTAATCGACAAAAGAGAAATGTCCCTGTCTTTAAAGAGTTGATGGTTCAGGGAACTCTGGAGAGGACACAATCCCCAGTCAGAGGGGTGGCTGGAAGCTGGGGGAATGGGCCTGACCCCTCAGCAGGGTCAGGGTACACCTGAGAAGAAAATTAACCAAACTGTGACTACTTAATATATCTAAAGCAATTTGCTTAGTAGTCATTGTGACCACTTATGTTTTGTTGTTAGGGAATTTTAAATATTTAAGGGAATCTGATATATTAATAATTCACAGAAATATTCAGAAGGCTTTAACTAAATTTTTAGTTGATGATTAAATGCCCAAGAACTAGTGATTTACAAAAATTTTAATACTTATAGTGTATAAAAAGACTTTGACAACATTATATATAAGTGGGCCCTGTAAAATGAGGTATAAGGAAGAAGTAGATAAACTAAATCTGTAAGTATGGATTGAAATGACTACTTAAGCTTGAGGGTACTGAAGAAAATTTTAATCTGACAAGTTTATAAAAGCATTATGCATTAATCAAAGAACAAGTAAAATTAAAAGCTTTTAATTTTAACAAAAAAATCACTAGGTATTTAGGTAAACTAAGATTTACAGCTTGAGCTTAAAGTGTAAGGAAATACTCGGTTTCTAAATTCACAACATGAAAAACCAAATATTAATTAAAACATAAATAACTAAATATGTTTTTCATGCTAAATGCCCTCTTCTTTAGACATTAAAAATCCAATTTCCTACCTCACATCGATTTTAGGATGCATAAAGAAATAAATCTAAGAATCTAAGAAATTCTGTGTAATGACTGAGGAGAACAATATTGTCCTGAGTTTTCTTGGATTTCTTCTTTTTTCTTTTCAACGAACAAGAAATAATTTGCATTCAATAATGCAAAATAAAATTTCACATCAAAAAAATTCATTTTTGGAAGCAAAGAAAGTCATCTACATCTGTCTCTGAAATTAAACTCTTCTTTCCCAACCCTAGTAGAAGTGTTTATGATTTCCACACAACTAAAAAAAGTTAATGCCCAAGCTAAGAAACATTAGTGTCCAAAATAGCACACGTGAAGCTAGCCAGGGGTTCATGAATTCATAATGCAACGGTTTATAGTGATGATATGGCAGAGCAGGCTATAAAACTCTAACAATAAAGCTCTAATTTGATAAGGTCCAAGGCAGAAAATAACAATTAGAAAATCAACTTTACTTTTACTCACAAAGGTTATGCTTTCAATTTGAGGTGAATATAAATGTGTACTTTATGAACAGGTTTGAATTCTATAGTGGAAAATTAACCCGGAGTCACACTAATCAAATCATAAACCATGATATACCCAATAAAAACCCAAAATATCTCTGGCTCTGAAAAGTAAGAAAAAGGAATATTTATGAAATAATAATCATTCTTCCCTGGAAGAACTCAGCTAAATCAACTTTGTGGGTTTGCTGAAAAATAAAGAGAAAATCTGGACACCATTAATGAAAAACCAAGCTCATGACTTCCACAAACTATTAAAAAACAGATTCCAAATATCTTTACTTTTCTAAATTTAAAGATGGAAAATAAAAGCAGTAAAATCTGTCCTTTAACTTTCCTTTTTAAAGCTCCTCCCCTCCCCTCTTCTTTAGGCAGTTGGGTACTAATGAGGAGCAATCTGAGTACCTGCCATTAATGGCTTTCCTTCCAGCCAGGCCAGCAGCCACCTCAGCTGTGGGTGAATGTGTCTCCTGCTTGTATCTTTATTTGAAAACAGTAATTATATCAAACAGTAAGCAATGGTTTATGAAGGAATTGTTGAAAACAATAGATAAAAATACAGTATTGCTTATTAGAAACATTACCGGACTAGAAATAGTTTTGTTATGAATAATAAATTATGACATTGAGTGAAAAAACCTCCAAATATGAGCACATTTATCTACCCTAAAATACTCAAGCTATCACATTTATTTTTTTCTCTTCATTCATAATAGGACGTACCCACTTAGCAAGACTGTCAGTGCATGCCGATGTATTTTTAAGCTTCTTGCTTTTTTACTTAGTTAATATGGTAGTGAATTTTAAAAACTTCTTTGTCATAGAAGTTTAAGCAATAATTTTTTGTACGATAGAACTATGTTGGGAACTTTTGCATAAGGTCCTGAGGTCTTCTGGAGACTGAGTACTTAAGTCAGAGAATTGCACATCAAAAGAAAAATGGCACCGAAAGTTAAATGTGCATTTTTTTGGTTTTTCCTTTTTCACTAACCTATTAATTTCCTGCTGTTTTCAAGTGACAAGTCATAATAAGTAATGAACCTATTTTAGAGACAGCCATGTGGGATGAGTGTAAATTGATAACTTCAAGAAAAAGTAAGCTAATTTCCTTAAAAGACATGGACTGTGAGGTAGGAAACAACAAAATAAACAGATCAAAAGCTATTTCAGGGCCGGTCCCGTGGCTCACTCGGGAGAGTGTGGCGCTGGGAGCGCCGAGGCCATGGGTTCGGATCCTATATAGGGATGGCTGGTGGGCTCACTGGCTGAGCGTGGTGCAGACCACACCATGCCGACGATTGCGATCCCCTTACCAGTCAGAAAGGAAAAAAAAAAAAAAAAGCTATTTCAATTAGTTAAAAATATGTTTGAATTTATAATTGTGGGAAAAAATGGCAAGAAGATATTGCAGAACTCCAGAAAAAGAAAATTAAACAATTAAATAAATGGAGGGCAACTCAAGAGGACAACATGAAAATATACCACATCCCATCCAACTCCAACACACCTCAAAACAAGAGTCTTTAGTCTATTCTATGGCAAAATCAGAGTAAATAATATATTTCCGAAACTTGGTCATTAAATCTTAGGTTCAAATCCCACCTCCATTATTTCTGACTTGTACACCCCTGGGAAAATCCCTTAACCTCAGCTTGCCCATCTACAAAATGAAGCTAAAATCAGGACTATCAGATTTCAAGCCCTTGCTGCTGACTGGCACTCCCATTCCTGTCTTTTTAGTCCTCATCTCACCTTCCCCTTCATCTCAGCCTGATCCGTACTCCAACTCCATGGTCCTGCAGCACAGCCCAGCACTCCTGCCCTCATCTGGTCCCTGCCTGCTGTGTCCTTCTTCTCTCCACAATGGCCCCACAAGAGGGGTCTGTCTCGGGGTTCTGAGTGGTCATCGTACCTGCTCATGTTATCTGGCTAGGCCAAGAGTTCTGCTGAAAATGCTGTGGCAAAACCCACCACCAAACACTTAGCTGGGCAATACCACAACTCCTGTTCTGTTTCACCTTCCCTGAGGTTTTTTTTTTTTTTGTCTTTTGTCTTTTTCTGTGTCCGGCAACGGATCGCAACCCTCAGTGTTGCCCCCGTACCGGACCGGGGACCGGCAACGGGATCGCAACCCTCGGTGTTGCTCCCGCGCCTCGCTCAGCCAGTGAGTGGGAACCGGTCTGTATGTGGGATCCGAACCCTCGGGCGGGAGCACCGCCGCGCTTCCCAAGCGGCGCACTATCCAGTGCGCCACCGGGCCGGCCTTTCCCTGAGTTTTTTGAAGCACCCAGCACTGCTGACCTTCTACAGCTCCTCACCTGCTTTCTTCCCTTGACTTCCTGAAAATGACTCTTGGTCCTTTTCCCACTTCTCTGACTTTGCTTTCCTGGTGACATTCCCTCATTCCTTTTTCCTTAGGGATGTTTTTACCCCCAGGTTCCTTTCTTGGGGCTAGGTTTTTAACTTGCAAAGTTCATAACATTTTCAAGGATGATCTAACATGCTACATACACATTTATCTTAACTTTACATTTTGAGACAAGTAAAGATTCACAGGCAGTTGTAACAAATAATACAGAGAGATCTCAAATACCCTTAGTCTGAGTGATAACATATTGCATACCTATAGCACAATAATACAGTCAGGAAACTGACATCGATACAATCCATCAACACTATTAAGTGTTCACCTGTTTTACATGCACTCATTTTTGTGTGTGTGTTTGGTTCTGTGCAATCTTATCATATGCACAGATGACACATCCACATTCTGACTCACATTCCAAGAGCTGGGCTCTTATTATTTTGGGAGAGGGGGTGGCTAAGGGGGAAATAAAGCAGCCCCTAAATCCTGGCAATCCCCATATACTCTAAAATGGATTGTCTGTTACAAGCACAGCAATCCTCAAACTGTGGCAAGTGAATTCCCATCTCTCCTCCTGATGTTCTCTGAGTCTGAAACACTCTAGGAGCCTGGCCATCCTGCTAGTCTGGCTTCAGTCCTTCTTTATGGGAGGCTCTAAGGTCCACAAGTGAGTCTTCTGGGTTCATCCTTTCTCTTTCATTACAAGGAAAGCTTCTTGGGGATAGAAAATGAACCCTCTTTGTGAGTCCCATAGGCCTGAGACATATATGTCCTCAAATCAATAATACAAAAACTAAGATGGGAAAGAGAGGAGAGAAAGAAGAAACAAGTACGGCAGAATTCGCCATCATAGAGGACTCTGGAAACCAGGATTTCAACTTCAACAACTAAATTTTAAAAAAATAACAGAGCAGGCACGGATGAAAGGCTGTACTCTTTCCTTTTCCTGCCCACAAGATTTTACATATGGAAGAATACTCACCCTCTTCAACAGTCAGCAGGTTACCCAGTTCTGCTGATGAATGATACTGGACTGGCTCAGAGCTCTTCACATTTGCCAGTGGCAGGAAGGGGTCGTAATCCGTGGAGGACAAGTCAGCCAGGGTCAGTGTGTAGTGACTCTGTTGGGTGTATGTGCTCGAGCCACAAACACAGCAGTGCAGAACCTGTGAAAAACAGAAGGGAATGTGCATCATGGATGCCACTCACCTCCTGTCCCGACAATTTGTCCAACTACCACTGCACTTAGGAGCTAGGACTCCTGCTTGGTAATAACTGAAAACATTGAATCCTTTCCCTTCTTAAATATCTACCTGCTATTAGCAAGTTTATTCTGCTCCTTTCACATAATGCCAATAAATATATTCTCAAGGCAAAAGGAAAGAAAAAGCTAAAAAGTGCTTATTTCACCATTCGCTGTGACTGCACACACTGCAGTCCCCCTCCAGTGCACCAAAGGCTGCACCAGTAGAAGGAATGAAGCAGGAGATAAGGGTAGCTGTGAGATAAGCCACCCGGGCAGAGGATGGAATGAATGCAACAGCACAGACCATGAGAACTTCGTGACTGTTCATGAGTTGAAATTAGTATAACTCATGACCCCATGAATTGTAAGGGCTAATTTCATACAATTTTTAAAGTATTCTCATTTTCATAGGATTAGTTTCATTGGTTGTTTACAACTTGCAGTTGACTGAAGCTTTATCTACTTACTTGCACTTTTGCGCACATACAAGCCATGCTAAGATAAGTCATCTTGAATATGCCAAAATGTATAAATGATATAATAATTGTAGTAAATTTTCCTTTTTAATCATAAAATCAGGATTATAAATTAAAAATGCTTTTATGAAATTAAGGTAATACTTTAGAAACTAAGGAAATATTTTTGGGTTAAACACGTAAAGTAAATTCACCTTTAGGTGAATAACTTTGGTTTGTCCACATGGCAGAAGGCCTTGTGGTCAGGTACCCTTTGCACATGACTAAAGGATTATAGCTGGCAAGGGGCAACCACCTGCATATGTCCTCTTCTAAACAAAAAAGCAGCATAGAAAAATACTTCTGGTGGCTCTCTTATTAATGTAAAAATTAAGCTTCTGTTGTTCAGAGAATTAATTTATATTCATCAAAATGCAATAAATATAAGAAATACAAATTAAAACCACAATGGAATCCACTACATACCTATCAGATAGCACCGAGTGCTAGCAAGAATTTAGGGCAGCTGCAATTCTCAGACACTTTTGGTGACAATTAGCGCCAACCACTCTGGAAAATTATTTGGTGTTCACTACTAAAGCAGAACTCATGCATTACAGCAACTCCACTCCTAGGTATACACCCAACAGAAATGAATGTGTACCAAAAAAATATACTTGAATGTTCACAAAACATTTTTTATGGTCCCAAACTCTAAACTACACAAACATACATCAACAGCAGAATGGATAAACTGTGGTTTATCATTGTTTAATACTATATAGCAGTGAGAGTGAAGCCTACAACTATTCATGACAATATGAATGAATTGCTCAAAAAAAATGTTGAGTGAAAGATGTCAGACATAAGAGAACATACTGTATGATCCCATTTGTATGAAGTTCAAAAATAGGCAAAACTAGTCTACACTGTTAGACAGGGTAGTGGTTACCCCTGGGCATGTGTATGGGGTTAATGATTAGGAGGAGGCACACTGGGGGCTTCTGAGGTGCTAGGAATGTTCTTTCCTGATCTGGGCCCTAATTTTACAGGTGTGCTCGCTTTGTGAAAATTCATGAATCTCTCACTTATGATTGATGCATTTTTCTGGAAGCATATTATACTTCGATAAAGTTTACTTTAAAAATATAACAGAGGTGTTTAATAAATTTATGAATTATGTTGACTATGAGATGACTTTTATATTGGCTGGTAATTTTAAGAGAAATCTTTTAAAAAAAGAAATGCCAGAAAGAGATGAATATAAACGTTTCTAGCTAATTTAACTGGCTCAAGCCAAGCCTTGTACAGTTTTATAATCAAAGATGATAGAAGTATCTACCCGGCATAATAGATAATTCAATGGATATGCAAATGCTAAACAAATGAAGGTTTTAGAGACTGTTTAGGCCAATTACAGAAGGATATTATCAATGGCCCAGAAGAAATGCCACACCTAGTCTTCAGTGCGGGTGTGGGGGGGGGGAGATGAAATTAGAATATTTGAATATTTTAAGTACCATAAAAATGATGAGGTTAATTACTTTGATGTGATCTGTTTCATTAATTTATTTCTTAAGATTTTTTAAGGCAAAGAGATTACTGGGACCGTTATACTTTTTTCTTCCTTTGATAAACAGTTTCTGCCAAACTAATGCTGTGGATATTCCTATAATATAAACAGTTCTTAAATTGAGTAGACATAGACCATGTTCCATGAAAATTGGGGGACTCTGACCAAACCATAGCTGTTTAAAGATTAAAGATGATAGTCTTATAAAAATGCGTGTATTTTTAGCTTGGTAACCATTGCTTCGTCCTAACTTTAGGAGATACAATTATATATATCTGTTCTGCCTTTACTCAAGTTATTCATTTCTCTTCAAATGTTTACCACCCCACCCCCCCAAATCCTTTGCAAAAGGGCACAGACAAATAAGTAAGTGCACAAAACTTATTTTGGTATTTCCCTGCCAGGTAAGTCCACACTCCATGCCCTGAGGTCCAAATGGAGACTCACCCTGTAGATATAATCCAGCAAGGGGGCTCTGGACACGTGCTGCTCCTCCAGAGCTGCTGTGGACACAGGGTGGAGAAGGGTATTCACCGGCAACGCCATGCACCAGTCCAAGAGGCAGAGGAGCAAGGAAACGATGAACTGGAAGAAGAAACATGCCCATAGCCTTAAACTGCACTCTCTTAAACCTCACTACGTGTAATAACACACGAGAGAATTGTCCCTGTGTATAGTAATTAGTCAACGGACACAAAAGTGCTAAGCAGGTAGGTGGGTAGATAGGTAGGTAAGTAAGTAAGTAGACTGTTAAGGCCAATAAAGAAGGATGTTATAAAGAATACCATTACTTGTAATATTATTTATCATTCTATCTTACATTTAAAAATAAACTCTAGGGAAAACTTAGCTCATGTGCCACCTACCTTCTTATCGGTTTCCACTGAGGAGTATTCTGCGCTGGGTAATAGAAAAGCAATTGTGGCCACAAGGATCTGCATAAAAAATAAATCCCCCATCAAACAGACCATAGCAATAGTTTTGGAAGCCATATGTTGAAAGTCCCAAGATGGCCTTACAATTAAACCCGGCTTGGTGCCAACTCACTAGAGGAAGGCCCTAAAAAGCTGAGGGCTAGTTGTGTGTGTGATCTCGAAAATTAGGAGAAGGCAATGGGATCATGCCTGGTTTCCACCGCACTCTACTGGTGGGGAAGTTACAGGGCCAGGGAAAGGAATTTCTCTTTGTAGTCACATAATTTCTACTGTCAGTCCCCATACTTTTCATAGTGAATTCAAAAAATACTTTCAAAAATAATTGTGAACATGATTCCATTTAATTCAGGTCTCTACCTGCTGTCCTGGCATAATAGCACCCTTTTCATTCTCAAAAGTATTCCTGTTTAGATGATAAATTATATAGCTGCCCAACTTACATTTTGCAGCATTTTATATTCCTACATCTAAAGCTCTATTTTCACTCTAGGTCACTTAAGGTAAAAAGTCACTTGTGACGTTTGATGTGTCTCTGAGAGAACAAAATAATCTCACCAGTGAAATCTGTCTAAGGCGGAGACAAAATAAATCAATATAACTTTTTCTCTCTCTCTGTAATATCTCACGGGGACAAATCAAATTTCCTTGAAGAGTTACCACTGGATGTGTAAAGAACAGGCCATGTTTTAAAAAGTGAAACTATAAAAATTGGCAGGAATGAATGTGCCTTACCACCAGACACCTATAGAAGTGAGGGCACCTGCTTGGGTATAAGCAAAGCATCCTCAAATGTAACCACCTCCATAATATTATTGTTGAGATTATTCTTCCTGTTCCTTATGTCCCTTTCTCTCACCAGCTATCACCCCCCGCCCCCCTGAGGTTATTATAGTAGTCATCTCATTACAGCTGGGTAATCATGCTATGGCAGAAAGCGTGGTGCAGGGCTTTCGTCTGGGAGAGACCACTCTTTTACACAATAGCCGCCCCTCCGCCCCTGCGCCCCTGCGTGAAGGGCATCATAACCAGCTGCCTACTCCTTGTTGGCACCATCCAAATTACTCTTGATGAATGAAACTCAATCTACAAAAGGTCTCTTTGTTGTGGTTGTGTCAGTCTTTCGAACTCCCCAAGTATAAGCCTCTGCCCTGGAACACTGCTGGCTTCTTTGCGTAGTGCCTGCAATCATAGCTGAGAACTAGTCTGACAATCTTAAAATGAGTGACTTATGGCAATTTAATAGTTGATTTAATTATGAGTACCTATAATTAAATAAATATTATATACAATAAAAAAGAAATGCTTATGTTTTAGCATTACAGGAAAAATACTTACTTCAACCATTTTCTGAGGCAGAGAGGTTTCAAACATCTGAAGCTTTTCCCAGTAGGAAACCAGCAGTTGGAGAACATCACAAGCTACCTGAGCCACCATTTTATTAGAAAACTATAAAAGGAAACAAAAATCCCAAAGTAAACACATAACAGGCACATTATTCTTAAGAACAAAACAGTTATTTCTTTCCAGTTCCATATGGATTACATTCATAATCTGCATGATCACACCACCACTCTATAACTGCCTCTTGTCTATCCTAGCTGTGTTAATTTACCTAACTTACTATAGAAACAAGTAGCTGTCACTTAGTCATTTGGAAATTAAAACCATAATTTCAAATTCCTTATTCAGCTCACATGAATCATATTTTGGACAACTAGAGGAAATTAAAATGTAGGACACATTATTGTTGAGTATCCCGCATGCTGAGCCTTTTACGAGAATTTTACACATGCTCTCACTGATAAATCTTTATTGACAGCTCTGCAAGACAGATGTTATCTCTATTTTACACTTGGAGAAACAAGAATTGAGCAAATGACTTTCTATCCTATGAAATGAAACTCGACTCCCATGTATAACATACTAAGAAATGTGTAAAATTAGAGACTATGAGAACATAACTCTCAAGTTATGGTATATTCAATTACTTTTGAGTATATTTCCTGAGACCGGTGGGTGTCTCGGGTCACTACCAATGTCTTCTGAATGTTTCCATTTCATATCTTGTTCACCACCATATCCCGACTGCCTAGCACGACCCCCTGATGGATGTGCACAGTGTGCATAAGGTGAAGATGAAACACTGAGGGAGCGGGAGGATGTGAGTGGGCTCTGGGTGTTTCTGCTGCATAGCAGTGGTCAAGTCATGGGGAGGAAAGATAAGGCTGGAACGGCTCTTCACTCAAAAAGCTGGAAACAGCCAAGAGGAAAGTGATGAGAGACATGGCAGACAAGGCAGAAGGGCTACGGGCAGAGAGGGATAGGACAGGGTGGGGTGGGGGGTTAGATGAGCAGAGAGAAGGCAGCATGGCGGGGGGGGGGGCCCCGCTGCCCCAGAAGAATGCAGATGGAGAGCCAGGGCTTCCTTCCAGACACTGGGCAGCAGGGCACAGGCACAAAG